ATCCTTCCTCGCTGGACCCCTCTTAACTCTCATTGGCTCTTGCCTCCCACTCTCCTTAAAAGCGCGTGACACGACCCTCCCTTTAAAATCCCGATTCCTTCCCTCCTTTACAAATCCCTCCCCCTCTCTCACTCTCGCAGACCAAAGGATTCCCCTCTTCCTTCCCGTTTCTCTTCTCTCTATCAAAATTCCCCATCTCGTCCGATTCGATTCAACTCACCGAGTCATGAAACCAGTTCAACCACCACCACCACAACCCCTTCCCTCCACCAATAGTCACACCAACAACAGGAGACCGCGTCGCTTCCCTGACCTAAAACTACCTCTCCCTCAACGTAACCCTCGGCTAGCCGTACCCCTCCCTCTTCCACCCAACTCCGGCGTCTCAAACTCCTCATCCTCCTCCTCAGCTCTTGCTCAACTCAGTTTCTCTGAACTCGATCGAATCAACCGAATCGGACGCGGCAGCGGAGGCACCGTCTACAAAGTCGTCCACCGTCCAACGAGCCGCCTCTACGCTCTGAAAGTCATCTACGGCAACCACGAAGACTCCGTACGGAACTCGATCTGCCGTGAGATCGAGATCCTTCGCGACGTTAACCACCCTAACGTCGTTAAATGCCACGACATGTTCGATCACAACGGTGAGATCCAGGTCCTTCTAGAGTTCATGGACGGCGGTTCGTTAGAAGGGACCCACATAAACCAGGAGGGATATCTATCCGACGTGGCACGGCAGATATTAAACGGCATCGCATACTTGCATAAAAGGAAAATTGTGCACAGAGATATTAAGCCCAGTAATCTCTTAATTAACTCTAAAAACAATGTTAAGATAGCTGATTTTGGGGTTAGTAGAATATTAGCACAGACAATGGATCCTTGCAATAGCTCAGTGGGCACAATTGCTTACATGAGCCCAGAAAGGATAAATACTGATTTGAATAAAGGAATGTATGATGGGTATGCAGGGGATATATGGAGTTTAGGGGTTAGCATTTTGGAGTTCTATTTAGGGAGGTTTCCATTTGGGGTAGGGAGACAAGGTGACTGGGCAAGCTTAATGTGTGCAATTTGCATGTCACAGCCACCGGAAGCACCGGCTACTGCGTCCAGGGAGTTTAGGGATTTTATTGCTTGTTGTTTGCAGAGGGAGCCGGCGAGGAGGTTTACTGCCAATCAGTTGCTGCAGCATCCGTTTATTGTGAGAAGAGCTGGAGAGGGTAGTGGTGGTAATGGTACTCACAGTTTGATGTTGCCTCCTCCACCTAGGCCAATTCTTTAGTGGGTAGTTGCTGTAGTTTTTGAATTGAATTGTTGTGGGTTGTTGTTGTTGTTGTTTATGATATTAATGTGAATTTCTTTGTTTTTTTTTTGGAGGGGGGTGGGGGGGTTTGTAAGTTTTGATATTTTGGGTTCGGATTTTTTACTTTAGGTGGAAATGAGAAAATGTCACAGCATCTTTAGTTCTGATTAAATTAGATTAAGATGCTTATGATGATATCATGATGATGACAAGGATAACATTTTTTTTTTGTTGCTGGTATTATTTTGTTACAGTTTTTGGCAAGTTTTGATATGATAAGTTGGATTTTGATTTGTAGAGGGAAAATGAGAATATGGGGTTTTTTACGTTTATGAGATTTAATCAAATCATAATAGCAATTCAATGTTTTTTGAGTGAGAGGTTATTCTTGAGTTTTAATAGACTTGGAAAATATTGGAGTTTGGAGATTTGGTTATGGAAAAGGGTTGGATTTTTGTCAGTGCTGAGTTTTTTCCCATTTCTGGTTTACAGTTTTAGGTGGATGTATTTATGTTTAAGATTCATTCTGAAGCTGCTAGATACTCAAACTGTATGAGTACATGACATTAGGTTTTTGTTTCTGCTTTTGTAGTATTAGTGCACGAATCTCTCTCTCTATTTAACACCATTATCTTTATAGATATCACACTGCAATTTCAATATCCTTTTCCTTTTGTACCTTGGTGTTTGTGTTGGCATGGTTGGTTATGAATCCAGCATGGAAACCCAGAATCTTTGTGTATTGTGTTTGACAGCAATCTGTCTAAATGAAACTACTGAAGCATGATCTGAATGTGGAAGAAGCATTAAGCTAATAATGAAGAAGTAAAGCAGAACATGTTTGTTATGGCCGTACTAGGGTACCGTGTGTTTTGTCCTTTGCGATTCCCCCTGTGAGTATCAATCTTGTGATTTTACCCTTCTTTCCCCTTTCTGCTAATACAACTCTCCAAAATCTTGTTCAGGTATGAAAGTTTACATGATCACTCATTCTATGATGCATTTAATTATGGGTAATTTTGTTAGATTAGTGTCATTATTTTGGAAACCAGCATTCAAAAATTCATTATTTCCTGTAATGAAGTTGTAGGGAGGTGTTTTATAATTAGTTGGCAGTGTTTAATTGGCAACTAATCCAATCTAATTGATTCATGATCTAGCTTTCTGTAAATGGTCACAAGACACCTTTTCGTTTCCCCGGTTACCCAAATGGTTCGATCCATCTCTTAATATTTGTTGTGTTTGAAATTTTTCTTTCTTTGGATATGACTGGACAATTTTGCTGTGTTTTTGGATGTGGGGCTAAGGGTTATGCTATGATGAGCTGTAAGTATTATGTTGCTGCAAATCATAACTCATTAATAATTCATCATGCATAAAGGGGTCGGAGATATTATGGTTACCTTTTCAACGTTATCCCGGAGGACCACTGCAGGCCACAGTCACACTTGGGGGGTGGGGAGGTGTTGGGAGCGGCGGCCTGCTGGTTACTGCGTAGTCTTTTTGCATGTCATATGAATCTACTCTACAGAATGTCACTTTGCACATAGAGAAGCATCAAAATTATCATAACTTTGGGGTCACTTGTGCGAGTATGAATCTGTCGATCCAACACGGGTGGTTTTTGGTGTCTGAATCTGTGAATTGAAGCGTAGAGATGGTTTTGTTATTTTTTTTTTTGCTTGAGAATATATTAAAAAAATATTTTTTTTATATTTTTATATTTATTATTGATATTAACATATTAAAACTATAAAAAAACATTAAAAGAATAATATATAATTAAATCGCAAAAACAAACTCGGTGGATATTTTTCAATGAAAAGGAGTAAATTGCGTATATTCTCTGGGCTTTTCGGATCCCTGTTTACAAATTGTAAGGTTCAGCAAGGTTGCTCGTGTATGGATGGGTTGTGTTGCTTTCCTGGGATTTTTCTTTTATCATACAAGTGTCCAACGCATTTAGATCAGTATGATTTGTATTGAAAGTGGAAATGCTTTTAGCTCTCCATTCTCATTCTTTACACACACACACACGCACACACACAAAGACACAACAATCACATAAAAGCAGATCCTATATTCTTTGTAAGGTTAAATCTACTCTTTGCTATTTCATAGCATTCTATGAAGAGATAATGGACCCTTTTTAGATCATGTCATTCGATATTTAATCCTATATTCTTTGTAGAAAAGAAAGCTTAGTCGATAATCCCAAATCATCTAAAAATGCAATAAAGCCAGTTCAAAATAAGAAAGTCACATCTATCTAAAAGCTCATGGGCTGAAGGGTAGCTACATCATTTGAGAAGGCTGTAGGCCTAGGAAGCAGGAACCATTACGGTGGAGCTATTGGATTCGATTGAAGGGCCTGGACCACCTTTGACGGTTGATGCGGTTAATGTTGTTTTGATATTTTTTTAATAATTCTTTTTAGAGTTAACTTGAGGTTTATGTATATTTTTAAAACGGCAAAGGGCAAGCAAATGGAAAGAAGAAAGGTAAATAATTCAGCCTGGCTAAACCTTAAACTCTTAGCATTTTACATTTATTTTCAGGGTGAATTAGCAGATGGAAAGCAAGTGGCTATCGAGAGATTGCTAAAGGAACTCAAGAATGAAGTTATCTTAATAATTGCCAAACTGCGACATAGAAATCTTGCGAGGCTGTTGGGTTGTTGCCTTGAAGAGAATGAAAAACTACCAGCGCATGAACACATTGCCAGCAGAAAGATCTGGACCGTTCTCCACTCATAAGCCGGTCCATCTTTGAATTCCTCGCGTGCAGGCATGGAGTTTATGGATCCACTCTTGTTAAAAACGTGTCGTTAGTGAAGTTCTCAAGTGCGTACACATTGCTTTATTATGTATCCACGAAGATGAAATGACAGGCCAATCAAATCCATCGTAGCTGCTACGAGAGCAAATGATACAGCATGACACTGCACAAACTAAAACAGCCTGCATTTTCCGTGGGAAGAATGGATCAAACACAGGTTCCAGCTGGTTCCAATTGTTCCGTCAATTTCTAACCTTTTACCTTTGCAATACCTGGTCATTCCTCTTGCTCCATTGAGTTCTTGTTTTGAAGAACGGTGTGAGTCATAGGTTTTGATACGGTTTTGCAGGAGATTTTTCTTTGAAAAAATATTTTTTTTCAGATTATTTAATTTTTTCATGTTTTTTTTTTCAATTAATTTTGTTATAGCCATGGTTGTAATAATTCAATGATTTTGCTCTTTTTTAATTATTGTTGTTGTTATTGTTGTGCAGTGTCATGCTCTCACTTGCCAGCCATTAACCAAAGATCTTCTCGGACATAAATCTCAAAAAATCTAGACAGGCACTAGGGTCAATGTCTGGCCCGTCCAATCCACGTTACCCAATCGTGTTACCATTTCACTGCTGCTAAAAATTCATAGCAAAGAAACAAGTTTGGGTAACCTCATATCAGTTCCCAATTTATAAATCTGTCGACGCTATTTATAAATACTTTCTCAATTACATACTGGACTTATGTTTTTATCAATTGAGATCCAATCTATAGAAAACTTTAGGCATTTTGGTTGATGGAAGGACCAAGTTAGGGATTTGTGGATACATTGGGTACCCAATTGAGTGAAAAGATTATAAATTTGGGGACCAATTCTTGATCATCCCGAGAAAATTTTTAAAACAAGAAGTGACAGGCGCTACTTCTAGGAAACTTCCTCATGCCGGCCACTAAGAACCCAATCATCAAATCATCTTCAAGTTCCCATCTTTACAGGCACCCAAAGTCATAATAGTACTAATCAAGATTCAAGCCAAACGAGAAGCAAGAGAGATTCAAAGACAGGTTTTTAACATCAAACAACAGCAACAACAACAAGGAAGCAGCAGCAGCAGCAGCAGCAGAAGCAGAAGAAGAAACAACATAAGACTTAACTAAACTAAACTTATCCCATGTAAGTATCCGGGTCCCACGAAAGAGTCTTCTGTCTTGTCTTGTTTCTATCTAACTTCCCATTGCAACAACAAGTGGAGATCTACAGGCCCTCTTGATAGATTTCATAAAAAAAAAAAAATATATCCATCACGCATTGGTAATTAACTTCCTCCCTCGCCCCCCTTTTTGTTTGATTACAGTTAGTCTTTCATTTCGTGTTTGGTTGGACTGCTTGTAGACTTGACGATCTAATTTCTCATTTTCTGAATTGACTTTTTTTAAAGCTGGAGCCTTTACCAGTACAAAGTTTGAAAAGTTGCAACTTTTAACAAAAATATTGGAACTTTGGGATGTTGTCTCATATATATTGCTGTGAATGAGAAAGTATCTTTCTGGGTTTTTGCATGCCAGTAGAAGTTAGAAACCAATCCCTTTTTGTTCATTTCAATCCTTAGTTAATAGGTTTTGATGGGCTTCAGTTTGATCTTGTAAGCCTTTGATCATTAGTTGTTTGTTTTCTGCAGATGATGCCCATGGAGGAGAAAGTAGAAGTTGAATCTGATGAGGAGATCCCTTTCAGTGCATCAGCAACAGGAAAGAAAGTGCACCCTTTTGATTCTGAGGGAAATAGTATTGCCTCACATGTTGATATGTCCAAGTCATGGATTTTAAAGAGAATACAAATGGGTCCTCTTAGAAGTATATACATTGTTCTAATTAAAGCCAAGATTAATATGCTGCTTCCTTTTGGTCCCTTAGCAATACTGCTTCACTATCTTACTGGAAAGCATGTGAGTGTTATCGTGCTTGGTTCCAAAGCAGTGTAGTGTTTTATCATTGATTATTGGAGAATTGTGAAATGCTTGAAACAATTGCACTACCATGTTTTACATTGAATTTTGCCTGAGATTTTGCAAATGTGTTTGATGGTAATGTATTCTGATTTATAGGGATTGGTCTTCTTGCTCAGCATGCTGGGTATCACGCCTCTGGCTGAGCGTTTGGGTTATGTAACCGAGTAAGTGTCCCATGTGAGATCAACTGTAGTGTTGGATTAATTTTCTGCTTCTTTTATCGCTTGGTTTAACGCCAATACATGACATCATTTCCCCAATCATTGTATCGCAGGCAGCTTGCTTTCTACACGGGACCAACAGGTAAATCTAATACTGGATGTATTGTTTGGTTTTCAGCGAGAGTTGAATATTCACTGAGAAAATTCTAAATAATGTTTCTTATTCGTTTCATTTGACCTCTTATTGCTATTTCCTATGTGGGATATGCAGTTGGTGGACTTTTAAATGCAACATTCGGGAATGCAACAGAGATGATAATATCAATCTATGCATTGAAAAGTGGGATGATAAGGGTTGTTCAACAATCTTTGTTGGGCTCCATCTTGTCAAATATGCTCTTGGTTCTTGGATGTGCTTTCTTCTCTGGTGGCATTGCCAATCACCAGAAGGTTCAGGTTTTCAACAAGGTAGACTACCATAATCTTATAGAATTATTGTTTCGGACGTGGGATGAAGTGTGGACCTTTCTTTTTTTCTTTGTCTTATTTAATGTTCATGCCACCTGGTGAGTCACAGTGGGATTACTGTTGAAACAGGCAGCTGCTCTTGTGAATTCTGGATTGTTGTTGATGGCTGTGATGGGGATAATGTTTCCTGCTGTACTTCACTTCACACACACAGAGGTTCATTTTGGCAAGTCAGAGTTGGCCCTTTCAAGATTTAGCAGCTGTATAATGCTTATAGCTTATGGAAGCTACCTTTTCTTTCAACTTAAAAGTCAGCCTAATCTCTACAGCCCTGTTGACGAGGTTGGCTTATTCTTTATTTCACACGACTTGCTTTATAAGTTTCTTAATGGGCTAGCTTTCTAATTTTTTTATGTTTCTTGTTAAAAGAATGAACAGGTAAGCATAGATTGCTATCATTTCTTTGCATGTTAACTGTGTGTATATAATCTATTGACATTCATATTCCAAAGAAGCAATTTCTAAAGATTTCAATGGTACGTAGAAAAAGCACGCTCGCACATGCATATAACCACTGTAGCAGTCCGTAATGTTTTCCAATTTCATTGCACTATCATGTTTTGTTTATGAACAAAGTTGAAATTTTACGATCATGCTATTGAGTAGTGTCTTTGTGGGTTATGATAGATGCATAACTGCCAGCTCATTCTACTTCAGTAGTTTTCCTTTAAGGGTGTTTTGTTCTTTAATGGTTAAGGTCTTTTTCCCCATAAAATGTCTGTTGATGTATGATGAACAAAGAATGTCATAGCATAAAGAATAAAATTCCATATCTTCCAGACATATTTAAGCTTAAACCTGCGATGCATCTAGTAATTGAATTCATCAGTATGCTTTATTGTTACAGGGAGGAGTAAATGATCTAGAAGATTCTGGTGATGAAGAGGCACCTGAAATAACTCAATGGGAAACAATTGGCTGGCTTGCAATTTTGACTTTATGGATTTCTATACTGTCGGGGTACCTTGTCGATGCCATACAGGTAAAACATTCATTTCAATCAAATTTTTACCTTTTCACTTGTGTTTCTTTGATGGCTATACCTTTCAAATCCCATTAGCCTTGCAAAACTCTAATTAATGAAGGAAACAAGTTAAATCTACTCTGATAGAGGATGTCTATATGAATTCAAATTAGCAGCGCTATATGTTGGTCTTGCTATCTGGAGGAGTATCTTGTTCTATTGTTTTTATCTTTACTCTTCTATTGTTTTCTAGCTGGCCCTACTCGAATCCTGTGTTGCTTTTGCTTAAGCTTTCCTTGCACATGATCAAACCAAAGTCCTGTTTTCTTTTTCTAGTATTGTGGGAATCTTAGGAAACATTTATATTCTTCATTCAAGCAAATGCTCCAAATTGAAGTTTTCCCCTTTCTTAAGAGTAGTGGATCCAGGGTAGCAAACTAATTCTGTATCTTTTGCTTATTCCATTCAAGCAAATGCTCCAAACATTTATATCTTTTGCTTATTTGCACTTGGTTGATGGCATTGGTGCTTTCTTTTCAGGGAGCATCTGACTCATTGAACATGCCTGTGGCTTTTATCAGTGTCATTCTGCTTCCAATTGTTGGAAATGCTGCTGAGCATGCAAGTGCAATCATGTTCGCTATGAAGGATAAGCTTGTTAGTTCTATGATGATTCTTATGCTGCTAGTGTTACATTTATTGTACAGAAGATATTCATGCTGACAATACCACCACCTGTTTTCAAATATGTTGTACTCCCAACACATAACATAATCTCCTTTATGTGCTTGATTGACTCAAATTTTGTGTAGGACATCACAATTGGAGTTGCAATTGGATCGTCTACACAGATTTCAATGTTTGTGGTAGGTTATGAAAGTTGTGCTGGATATCCATTGTCTAATCATGACCAACCTTGATTTATTTCTCCGGGAAATTTTCTTTCTGGTCACATTCAATAGTCAGATGGCTTAAGGTAATATTTATAGGTTGACATCAGCTGACTAATGACTTTTGTTTTGTTGATACCTGTAGATTCCCTTCTGCGTTGTTGTTGGATGGTGTATGGGACAACCAATGGACTTGAATTTTCAACTCTTTGAAACTGCTACGCTTTTCATCTCTGTGCTAGTGGTGGCATTTATGTTGCAGGTTCATGACTTGTCTTTTTAGCGGACTTGGATACTTCTGTGTCATATTTTCTTAGGTTTTCCAGTATCTGTAGTGCCAAATTGCTGATGCTATTTACATTAAACTACCTGTTTCTCTGAAGCAAATTTTCCTTGATACACCATACCATCCTTTTGTGTTAACAACTTCATATGCTAATTGGATTGATTTTTTTTCCTTTTCTTTGTGTGATTGCTTCTAGATGCTTATTGTAAGTCTTCATTATTTTTTTGCTTATATCCAGGAAGGAACTTCAAACTATTTCAAGGGTTTCATGCTTATTCTATGCTACCTCATAGTCGCAGCAAGTTTCTTTGTACATGTTGACCTTGATAAGGGTAAGTTGCTTAAACTTTGGATATTGTTCAGAAGATTTTGAGAAATTGTGTTTGAAATTGGTAGTTTTTCCTGATATTATATGAAGTCTTTTTTTTTTCAAAATGGCATAATTTATAATTTGCTGGTTTGGTTCTTGGTACAGACGATAACTAGAGATCCATTGATCCGGATGGCATTGGTTTTGAGCAAAATATTGCCCAGAAAGCTTGCGGCTGCTCAATACAAATACCTCCTGCGTTACCTCCTGCATGAAGCTGGAAAGTTCCTAGGCTTTCACATATCCTGTTAGCAATCAAGGAGAACTGGGCGTTAGATTTTGTTTTTGCCATTCCCATTCTGTGGCAACTACATCCCACATTTCTGCACGGAATTTGGGAATCCTGTTAGCCAATCTTGAGTTTATTTTTTTTCTCTGTTTTGATGTTATTTTTCTTAGTTGGGGTATGCTTTCTCCACAGCAGAGAGCAATATATAGATGGTGGAACCGTTGTAACCTTTTCTGCCTTCACCTCTATGACAAAAACTGTAATATAGTGGTTTTGATCCTTGTTAATGGATATTCTGAGATTCATTTCTGGCTGTTCTTTAATCTGATAAGCGCTTCTACATTCATTATCCTGTCTTTTTTCTTCAGATTTTGGATAAAAACAACAGAGCTGTAGAAGCTTTGTTCACTCTTGCTTGATGCCAGTTGATATTAGCCGCCAAATGCCTGTTCCTGCTCGCTGATATCCATCTATAATTGTAAAATAAAATTTCTAATTGGATGTTAACAGGTTTCCGTATGCTCGAACTATTCTAAAAAGAAAAAAACAATAGGCAGCCCTAGCATCTCTTTGAATTTTTTCGTGCAAAATGGCAAGGAACATAAGACGAGTGGCATCAAGTTCCATTTCCTCTTAAGGTTTCTTCACTTGCTCTTTCCTCCAGTATACGTGTTGGTTCTTCCACTCCCAGTAACCATAAAGTATTCTCCCTGCTTGTAGGTGTGATAGCTATATTAGAAAAAAAAAATTATATAAATCAGCAGGAAACAATATGCGTTCAAAGATGTAGTGATAAGGTAAAAAAAAAACACACTTGTCGTAGTTTTTGGCTGATATATGTGCATTGACTTGGGGACTGTTTATCACATTTTATTCCACAGGCATTAGACAAGTCATGCCATTTATGAGGCTAGGCTATAACACTAAAATTAGCGAGAAGATTCATAATGCTGCAGTTGTTCTCAATAATGGAGATTCAAAAGCATGGCTCGCCAGTGCCATCGCCAAGGACCAGCCATTTTGGAAAAAGCATGTCAACTATGATTTCGTGTTTGTCCGAGCCTGCAGGTTTTTATCCTTTATGTTCATAATATATTAATTTCCTCGTTGTTTGTTAATAAGAAAAAAACAACTGTGCATGTGAGCATATTAGAGATTCATTTATGCAGGTTTGAAATAATTTTGTTCTGGTATAGCCTTAGGAACACGAATGAAAATTCATTTTGTGTTGGTTCTCAGTAGGATAGGAAGGTTTTGGCTGGCTTGAGGGCAATGGGCAGGAGGGGTATTTTACCTATCATTCATGGTCGTGCAAGCAGAAAGTGAAGCAAACACAAATTAAATAGGCATGTCATTTTGATTTCTGAAACTAGGATTGGAAATCATATCTCGGACTGTTAAAATTAGATAGTAATAAGAACCATGCAAAATTTCATAATTTCACATAATCCTTTGTCGCTTGTGAAGGAGGCTTTGAGAGTTTGTGCAGGTTGATTAAGTTAGCATCCGCGCATTGATCAATCCTGAACCCGAAGGAGCTCCTATAGAATTTGACATGAACTGTCGTGGATAATGATTCATTTTGTATGATGATGATGAATTTGATGTCCAAAAAAAAGTAGAAATTGGATTTGCATCTGGCATCTGATGATTAACATATGCAGTTATGTTTCCTACGGCAAAATCTGGTAAAATATTGCTAGGTCTCCGATAGGGAGGCGGATTTCACCACTGAGAAAGTGGTCCTGTTACAGGAAGTGATTGAAGTAGAGGATCGGCATCCATCCCAGCTTGCAAGAGTTTCCCTTTCTGAGGCGGAAACTTTCCCTGAGCATGATAATCAACAGCTGCATTGCCCCTGACATTCTCAATATTGTTCACTCCTGAAGAGACTAAGCCAGTGAATTTCGACCCATTGTGTTATTCTTGAACAAAAGGTAGGTTCAATAACCCATATTGCTCGATCCTACCGTGTTCTTGTTTGGGAAATCAGGAGTCGCCGCGGCATCAAAGGAGCCCACAGAAGATGAACAATGTGACAGGTGATGATTGTATGCTTCAGAATTGGATTTCGATTCGCCAAGGTTTGCTTTCGGATGCATGTTTAAGATGGGGCTTTCAGGTTAGACTTGAGCAAGAATCTGATAGGGTGATCTAAGACATTGACTTGTAAATCAATTTCTGCAACTAATCTCTTGCTCCATCTCTTTCTTTGTAAGCATTTGCTAAAAGATTGAGCAAATGCTGCACAGTATCCTCGTGCTTTCCTAGAGTTACATAACTACACAGAGCACTCATTTGCTAAAAGATGACACCAATTCATGCAAAATATAACAACCAGTAGAGATCATAAAACAAACAAATCATTGAAGAGACTCACCTCATAACCATACAGAGCACTCATTTCCTCCATAATGATGAAGGATTCCCTTCTCAAAATTTGTAACTCGAAAAGATTTTGTGAAGAGATTTGATGGGTTTTGTAGTAAAAGGTAGGATGTCAAACCCTTCAAAAAACCATTCATCTTCCATCACTTCCATGAATATCTTAAGATGAATTTGTTTATTGTTACCATATAAGCGTGTGAGAAATGTAAAAAACACTCAAATAGAATAGAGTTAGGAAATTTAATGCCCCATTAATTCATTAATTTGTTTTCGTTGCTCCTAGCTTCTTACAATGTTTATATTATGGATAGTGGACTAACTTAAGATTTTTTTTAAAATATAAAAAATAAAACCAAGAAAATAACTAATAAAAACCTAATCTTTCTAGATATTGACCTGGAAAATAATAAATTTTCTCATCCTACAAGAACTCTTATCTATTCTTACAAAACAATGGTTTTTTAGATAACAACAAATGATCCTAGTCTTTTTCTTTCCTTAATAAGATTTAAGATTGACATTATTTCATAAAATTATAAATCACATTGAATATCAAAGAACTTATTATATGAAAATGGTATAAAACTATGATAATTTTTTTTTTGTACAACAAATTATTAACTTAAATGATTTTGACTTAGTGCACAGATATTGTGATGCAGAATGTTTTTTATTTAAAAGTATATGAGAATAATTTTTTAAAAGATTTTCTTTTATTTATAAAATCAGCATATTAAAATTATAAAAAACACAAAAAATTTATCAATTTAATATTTTAAAAACATAATACCAACCATATATGATGCCTTTTTTGTTTTTTTTTTTGTTAGCGGTGAAACAAATACAATAACATGTTTGGTAACAAAGAAAACAACGTTTTATATTGTGGGACCTAATAAAAAATTAAGTTTGAAACATGGTTTTTATATTTTTTAATTGAGTTTCGTAAAAATTCTTTTAGCCCTGTTTATTTTTGCATTTCAAAAACGCTTATGAACAAAATAAATTTTTTATATTTTTTAGATTAATATTTTTTATATCATTTTATTGTGCTGATATTAAAAATAATTTTTAAAAAATAAGAAAAAACATATTATTTTGATTCATTTTCATATAAAAAATATTTTAAAAAGTAATTGTAACCATATATTTTTTATACACATAACTTCAACTATAATTTTAACTAAATATATATCTAAATCCAACTAGTTAAATATTTGTTTTTAAACTTATTTTTTTTTTAAATTGTAGCTACTAAAAAAGGTGGATTCCAATTAAGAGGCTGAAGCTTGAACTTTGACGAAGCATGGGATTAGCTCCAACCCAATTTAAGCCCGGCTAATGTAATGTATAAGATTGGGCTTGGGCTCATGATTTATAAAATCAATTTTTTCTTTTTTTATTTTGAAGAAGAAAAGAAAAGGAAAATAGAACTAAACAAATGGTCTTCTATCTCCTAGCTGGATTTAGAGGAGTAGGTCTAGGGCTTTTTCATCTCAAACCAGCAAGATTCTCAATCTCAAGCCGCCCCCTTTATTTCCTCTGTTAACTCAAAAAGACAAGAACTTTCCATTTCTTCGCATCAGCAGCAACAATGGAAGAGAATGACCAAACTCCTCCATCTGAAGAGATGCAATCCCTCACTGTCACCCCTTCAGCTTCATCCTTATCAAATCCCACTACACCCCAGTAATTATTTTCTCTCTATATGTTTTCTTCTGGTGAAAGTTTTAATTGATTTGTGTAAAGTTCTGATCTTTTTTGGATTTTGTTGATGGGTTTTGATTTCCAGGTTGTTAAGTTTAGAGGAAAGGTTTCAACTTGTGAGAAGCGTTGGTGAAGAATGCATCCAAGAAGATGAACTACGTAATCTTCTTGATAAAAAACCGCTACCCATTTGTTATGATGGTTTTGAACCTTCTGGGAGAATGCACATTGCTCAGGTATATTCTTTTTTGTTGTTTAAGTCCAGTTTTTATTTTGTTCCTCGTGTATTTTGTTGTTAGTGATGAAAATTTAGTCTACTTTGTTAGTCTTTATTGATGATTCTGAGGCTTTAAGGTTACATCTTTTTGGAAGAGTTATCAAATTTAGATGTGATTAATAACCTATAAAGTAGTATTGATTTCAATTTTTAGTTTTACTTTGTCAGCCTGGAGGCATTTGGCATAGATTTAGTCGTTAAGGTTTGATATCGTAGTTGGGCAGCTTATGTTTAGAGCTTTTGTTAAGTCTGGTTTTATTATTTATACTTTTGCTGTTGTTGAACAGGGAGTCATGAAGACAATAAATGTCAACAAACTGACTAAAGCTGGTTGCAAAATGAAAATTTGGATCGCTGACTGGTTTGCACAGCTTAATAACAAAATGGGAGGAGACTTGAAGAAAATTAAAACTGTGGGGGAATATCTTATCGAGATATGGAAGGCAGTTGGGATGGATATTGATGGAGATAAGGTTGAATTCCTGTGGTCTTCGGATGAGATTAACTCCAGAGCTCATGAGTACTGGCCTCTAGTTATGGATATAGCCCGCAGGAACAAGCTTCCTAGGATAATGAGGTACCGTGTTAGAGCTTGAAAACTGGATGCTTCCATATTATGTGATTCTATATGCAACTAATAAAAGATTGCATTTTGGTCCTTAGATGTGTTCAAATCATGGGACGTAGTGAGCAGGATGAGTTAACAGCAGCCCAGATTTTCTATCCATGCATGCAATGTGCAGACATATTTTTCCTCAAGGTGCTTATACTTGTAGTTGTAAATCTGAATTTGAATTTTTGAACCAATTTATCAGATCTGTGCATGTGTGCTGACATTTTTTTCTTCAGTTACTTGTGCTTATAGTTGTAATTTTTCAACCAACTTCTTCTGTGCTTTATGTACAAAATTCTCCAAAAACCACTTAGAAATGACATTTATGCGTGTAAAACAAGTAAAATATATTCTCTCATGAAGGTTTTTCTATTAAGCATCATGCTTATATAATTCTGTGGCAGCATCCAACACGATAAAAAACTCACTAGAAATGTGACTAGAAGGATGATGTATTATGAATACTGTTTTTAGGTTACCTTTCTCTTTGAATTACTGCATCACATTCTTTAGCTGTTCTCTACAATGGTTTTGTACCAACAGGCTGACATTTGTCAACTGGGCATGGATCAACGGAAAGTAAATGTCCTTGCAAGAGAATACTGTGATGATATCAAGAGGAAAAACAAGCCCATCATTTTATCTCATCGTATGCTCCTGATTCCTTTATTCAAAAACTGTATGATGCTATTGTTTAGTTTCTTAAATGAAGTACTTTTCGACCCTGCTTTTCATGATTGCAGACATGCTACCTGGTTTGCAGCAAGGGCAAGAAAAGATGTCTAAAAGTGATCCATCTTCTTCCATCTTCATGGAGGATGAAGAGGTGTGTTGTGGTTTTATACATGGAGAATTTTAAAAAGGTTGCTATGTTGGGGAATTTACATGCCGACAATATATAGATACCCAGCATGCTGCAGCAGTGCATATTTAACTTAAACTTTCAATGCCTTGGTTTTTTATTCTTTTTATCATCTGTTTCATAGGTGGAGGTAAAAACTAAGATAAAGAAGGCATACTGCCCCCCACAAATTGTTGAAGGAAATCCTTGTCTGGAATACATTAAACACATTGTTTTCCCATGGTTCAATAAGTTCAAGGTGGAACGCAATCCAGAAAATGGTGGAGAGAAGTAAGTTCTATTACCTTCATATTGCTTCTTTCCTGCTTGTTTTTGTTTTCTTGAATTTGTTGTCTGTGCTTTTCTGTTTTTTGAGTTTTGGGAACTTCATTATTGTTGCTTCATTCTTTCTTAACAGTTCACTCTTTTATTTCAATGAATATGGCAATAATTTTCCATCATCGGTTTATCTTATCAATGAAGGATCTATGAAAGCTTTGAAGAACTTGTCTCTGACTATGAAAGTGGTGGATTACATCCGGGTGACCTGAAACCTGCTCTCGCAAAAGCATTAAATATGATACTTCAGGTAAGCTCTCTTTGCAGGAACTTGCATGGGAAAAAAAGTGGATTCACATGGAAGACAGCTCTTTTATATATTGTTCTTGACCAGAACTTTCAATTCAGATTTGTGTCTTGTCTTCCTCTCTATCATGTCATTTGGGACTCTTGGGTATTATTTTCCTCAAACTAGAGGAGACATTCTGAAACGGAACCAGTTAGTTGATGCTGTATTATAACTAGAAATTACTCTATCCTAACTAGTCAGCAAGCTAATTCAATACCGCTACATTTATTTGCAGCCTGTACGTGATCATTTTAGCAAAGATCCCAAGGCAAAGGATCTGTTGAAACGAGTCAAGGTTTGTGTACTTGTTCTTTGTTATTTTTCAGCAAAACAGGCGCAACCCAGTGAAGGGGAGAAAACGGAAGAAAGTAAATTGTGCATGCCACGTAATCTTTCTTTTTCCTATATGAAACTCTGATGTTTTGGTGGTTCCAATATGCTGCAGGGTTATAGAGTAACAAGGTGACGAGGAAGAGAATGCGATTCCCTTCTAGTTATGCTAAGAAATGTATCAATGCCAAACTTGGAATTATACTTCCAATACATCTAAATGTTGCTAAATACTTATTTGATAAAGAATCTTGTTAATGTTTTGGGGTTATTTTTTAGATTTTGGAAGTTGAAACCAATCAGTGCCTGGTGCCAACATTGTATTCATCAGAAAACCTTGTTTCACGCAGTCTCGATAATAAATAGCTTCGCTTTTTGACTCATGTTGTTTCTCCCTTTATTTATGTGCATGCTCAACTAAAGATGAACGGGAGTTACTGAGAATAATAACTGATATTTAACAGTTTTTTTTTTTTAATTTGGAAATGTATTAAAATAAAGTATTTTTTATTTTTTAAAAATTATTTTAAATATTAATATATAAAAATTATTTTTAAATTTTTTTTTAATGAAATGTGCAAAAAGAGGATTGAAATGAGCAATGGACACGCGCTGGATAGGTTTAGGAGTTTTATCAAAACCATAGTAGTAAAATCCAAGTTGGGATTTTCTAAGGTTTTCAGTAGGGTTTATCTCTATTTTTCTTTTTGAAAAAATCAAAACAGTATTGTATTTAGAAAAGGTATTGTTTTGAAAAAAAAATATTTTTTTAAAAAATAAACAGGTTAAGTGTTTGGTTTTGATCATATTAATGGTTGAACTTGGATTTTTGACTGCTCGTAAATTTTTCTTTCTATTTTTTCTTCCTGTTACAGATACTAGGTTGGTTGAGTTTCAAGTATACTTACTCACCACACTGATCAAGAACTATGATGGTCGGTTGAGTTCCGAGTCGGACTCACCGTGCTGGATGATCAAAGTATATCTCAAATTCTTCAGTGACGTCTCGCAAAAACTAATTGAAATACTTGTCAAACTAATCCAAAACCACAAACCCTTCCATTTGAATCGTTTATATGCATTAGCCATCAATTTTCTAATTTCACCAATCAAGAGAAAATAAATAAATAAAAAAGAAGGCATTTTAAAAGGGGAATTTGGATAATTACAAAGGGATTTGTCAATTCTGATCAAGGGACTAAATCATCATTCAATAAACTATGGAGGACATAAACGTGATTCGACTTCACAACAAGAAGCGAAGCACTAAATATTTCCCAGAACCGGAGAAATTTTCTCCTCCTATCCGATAACTTTCCTGTCGTTAATCACCTGTGGAAATCGCCAAGGTTTAGCTTAGAAAAGTCTCTCCCTCCCTTCCTTTTTCTACCTGGGTTTCTACGATCGTAAACCTCAAGCATCACTTGAGGTAGAAAAAGCTCCAAAAATTATGAATTTGTGCTTCGCTTAAAGTTTCTTAGTTAACCTGTTTGAAAAAAATGCCCCAATGAAACTATTGTTAATAATGTTTGCTAAGAATTGGTAATTTTAAGCTTAAACACAGACGCACAAAAGGTTTCTAAAAAATCTTGTTATTTTTTAGCACTTATCTTTGGATGTTTTTAGGAGGAGAGGAAATGTCAAAGTCTTGCAAGGGGCTTGCACTGGAACTGGTCAAGTGTCTCAGTGAATCCGATTGCATTAAGGTTCTGCATTCTTTACCAAAATGACGTTTTTATTTTTAAAGGTCTCTCATTGGTGAAATTCAGTCTTGTTGAGATTTATGTTTTTGATTTATATATGTAGATTGAGAATCGACCATATAAAGAATGTGCAGGAGAGAAGAGCCCTTCCATACCAAGTGAGGGTGTGGGACTTAGAGCAACTCATTTCAATTGCAAGAGAGGCCATGCATGTTCTTGTTTTTGTCTTCTCTTTAATTCCATTTGATTTCTTTCTGTTTTCTTGTTTGTGGGCTTTTCAATTATTCCTTACTTTTTTCGAGATGACTTTTAAGTTTTCTTTGTGCTCTGATTGCAATGAGTTATAATTTGATTCTGAGCACTGTTGCATTGAGTTATGGGTTCTGTTTTCACATATTCCTTAACTCAAAAGTTCTAGGGTAATAGTGCAATTAAAGTATCAATAGAAGATTTTGTTGATTAGAGCATAGAAGATCTGAGTAAAGTAAACAGCAGGTGTTGAGTTCAAATGGTGATGGTTTGCTTTGGTTAATTGTGAAGATAATTGATTGTATATAACTATATCATACGAGAGTTTATATGAATTTTCGATTACACTTCTCTTGTTTGTTCATCAACCAAGTAAAGTAAAGTTATACACATTATGAATTATTACTAATTTTCATCATTGGTTTATAGTGAGAGATTGCTAGACAAGATTGAAAAAACCAATTAGTTCTCATTAATTTCTTTATTTGCCAGTTGGTGGGTTAAATCTGAAAGTTATATTCCTTTTCCGTCTAAAGGGAAATTTCAACTTCTAACTTGAATTGAGTTTCCAACTGCAATTCTAACTTGTATGTCAGTATGTACATGACCATGCCTCAACACTTGTGCATTCATTTATGTGCCTATATGCTGTGTGTGGATTAGTGTATTGCCAAATGATTTAATGAAGAAGAATAAAGCTTCTGTGATTATTATCAATTACTAATTCTAAGATATGTTTTAGATGGATAAAAGCATTAAGAAGAATATCCCATAAAATTATCATGAAAGGAAAAAAATTTCTATCCGTTAAATGTAGACAAACATTCCCGTTTATTGACATGCCATCTCTCATGCTTTTTTCAGGTGGACATGAGAGCTAGAATTCGAGGAAACAAAGGTTATTAAGTGCATGGGACTGCTTGAATGATCCTTCTGCAGGATGGAACCCGGATATGAAAGATGATTGCCTTCTTAGCTTTACTTTTCCCATAGCAGTAGAAACAGCCTACCTTGTACTCAAGGGATTTTGTTGCTTAGGTGATTGCTGGATAATGATCATGTAGATCCCTTTTCTTTTTGTTTTTGGGTTTGCTTTTCCAAGTTCTCACTGACTACTGAGACATGTATGTTGAGAATTTCTTTTTTTGTTTTGTTTTTTTTTTTGAGAAAGAGAATATCATTGATTAGAACGACACGTCAGTTGCTTGGATTGTGCCCTGTTTATGTCATTTTGAACTATGCTCATGCTTTTCTAAAATACTAGAAATGAGCAAGTTTGATGACTGATTTTGATCTGCATTATAAAGAATTTAGCTTAGTGGAATCCTTCGTAAGAACCCATTTTATGTTACCAATCCAATCATTTCACAGCATTTGGGCTTGATATTCCAGTGATTGAGGATGACATTAGCCATGGCCCATGCTAGAGTTGACAGCACATAATAAGCATTGGATCCTACTATAGTTAGATTCCAAACCAGCTGAAGTTGGATAATTAGTCAATACTAGGTAAAGTCATGCTTGCTGCCAATATCCAATAAGGTAAAATCCCAAAGAATTTCAATAATTTAAGGAACTATAGAGTGCTATCTTCCATTTTCAATTATATTCATATATTTATTTCGCACTTGCAACACATAGATGGTTCAGATTTCAGCTCCTCTAACTTCAAGAAACCCCCAAAAGAAGGGCGTCCAAGTGAAGATATCTTGCAATATATTCTAAACTACCAGTTGCTTGGTTAACACTGATAAGAAAAAAGTAATCTTAAATTATCTTTCCGTTTGCTTTTCTGGGTAAGAAAGAGTTCTTTGATGGAGACTCAGATAGCCATGTTAACCAAGAATGTCTCTATTGTTAGACTGTACCCATGGCCCACAGTAGAGGATAAATAGTAAGTACCGCGTACCTTTATTCTTTTTTTCTTGAACTAAATATAAAGTTCATTTATCCATGAATAAAAAGAAAGTACAAGTAAAAAAAAAATAAAAACAAAGAAATGAAGATCAGATGAGGAATGGACGTTAGAGATAAATTGCAAGAAAAAAACACAAAGAGAGAAAGATAAAGAGATAGGATTTATATTATATGCTCATTTTCCTTCTCATGGCTGATATTACAAAACTTCTAAACTCCTCCTTCCTTCTCAAATCCTCTCTGTCTTTCTTGGAATTAGCGATGCTCTTTCATTTGGGCTCTTGTTTTTCTTTGGTTTCTCGTCTGTAGTTGTTGCTGGGAAGACATTTTCTTGTTCTTGAAAGAAAGAGAGATATAGAAGGATCGAAATGGCTGTGTCCTTGGCTTTTGCCAATCTTGCATTTCAGTTTAATGTTAAAGTTGTTGAAAATCCCATGTGTTTTGGCTTGGCTCCTACACAACTTCCTTATTTATGCAAGGAAAGAAGAAGGTATGCCTACTTTCAGACATTGTTTCCTCATTTTAAGTTTCTATATATATATATATATATGTATTACTTGTTTATATTCTGTGACTCTGAATTTGACTGCTTCAGCTTGAACGCTCAAGTTTCAATCTTTTGTGAACAAAGATCTTAGGATTATCCCTATGGTTCTGTTGGATTTGATTAAGAACTTGAGTGTCGAAAACAGCAACAACCCATTAAAATGCGACTGATTTCCTTAATTTTTGTTGGATAATTTTCTCAACATGTCAAGCTCTTAATTTTTCTAGTGGTTTAAGGAATGGCCAGAGCCATCTCCGGAATCCCCTGTTACTAATAACAATGGCAGCTAGATTTGCCCTTTTCATGTTTCTAACAAAACCTCAACACTTGAAAATTACTACTCATTACACAATTTCACTTCTTGTATCAATATCCTAACGGCTCATTAACTTGGATTAGTTGCTAAACCTTTTGCTATCAATAGAATGGTAGAAGGAATAGCTGAATAAGAACTCATCAGCTACAAAGCTGCTAAACGTTGTCATGATTTTGTATAAAAATACATCTTTACTTCATCATCCTTTGTTGTCACTTTACTTTCTACTAATTATATACATGACTGTTGCCAGATTGCCATTTTCCAGGACAATAATCATTCCAGGAGCTTCATCGGCTCCAACCATTGAGGTGTGGAGCAGCTCTTGCTGTTTTATGGGATTTTAGAGCTTAAGAACTAGTTAATTACTTTGTTTCCTGAGTTGATGAAATGGTGTTTTAAACAGGATGGAAGTCAAAATGACACCGGTGCAATTCCAACTCCCAAAGTTATAATTGACCAAGACGCCGATCCAGATGCGACCGTGGTGGAGATAACCTTCGGAGATCGCCTTGGTGCTCTTCTGGATACGGTATGGAGTCATATAATTGCTGAGATAGTCATGAGATTTGTCTTTCTTTTGCTGTTGACATAATTGTTTAGGATCTTCAGATTTTTCTGATTATAAAACTTTTAGTTCTGAATTACTCATCATTGCCTTCTGGTTAGCATACACAGACTATTGTGAGCAAACTATGATTAAATGCCTTACAGATGAACGCGCTTAAAAACCTAGGGCTGAATGTTGTTAAGGCTAATGTCTTTTTGGATTCTTCTGGGAAGCACAACACATTTTCCATCACTAAAGCGTAAGTTACATCCTATATGTTACGTTCACTTGCTTACAAAAGAAGAATTTTTTTTATTATTATTATCAATATGTTCCCTTTTATATGCTTAAATTGATATTCGTCAGGATCATGGATCGTGCAAACGAGTTTCTGACTTCGTATTGTTTTTTGTTCAATGAGCCATATGATTCTGTTATTGAAATAGCTTTTTAACAGCAAGTCTGACTGCCCCTTGCTGTGAGCTTTTCTTCAGTAGTACTGGTCGAAAAGTTGATGACCCTGAACTGCTTGAGGCCATTCGTTTGACAATCATAAACAATTTGCTTCAGTATCACCCGGTAATCATTTTTTGATGTCCATTTCTTCTCTTTAAGTATCTTTAAAGAATTACTCTTGTGAGATGTGCATCTCCTTATATGCTTAACTTAATGACTGTCAAACAGGAATCAAGTTCTCAGTTAGCAATGGGGATTGCCTTTGGAGTAGAGCCACCGAAACAGGTTTCACTTTGTTCATTCCCTCTGAATATGTTATAACTTCTGAAGTTGTTGGCTTTACTCTATAGTAAAATATTGTCCGGCAAACTCCAAGAGTTGGGGAAAGGGTGTCATAGCTTCGTGGCACAGATGCTATTTGTAATTGTATTTACCCTTGTCCTCAACTTTCTGTTTCCTCATGAAGAAACTGATTCCATTAGGGATGAACGTTAAACGATTTGTCTATGAATTATTTAGAGAAGATTTAAGCCCTAAACTATAAATCATAGCTCAAAATTTCTGTTATTATGCAATTCCTCAGGTTGATGTGGATATAGCAACGCGTGTAAAAGTCAAAGATGATAGTCCTGACCGAAGGTAAGTTCTGCTTTGATTTCTTATTGAGATATGACGGAGCTTTTTCCATCCTGAAAACCCCTATTACTGCAACAATAACTATGCAAATACACATTTTTCTCACAACTATGCTCCTGAAAATCCTTTCAAGTTTTTTATTATGGATTGCTTTGTTCAAGTTGGAAAACACTTATCTCCTTAAAGAACAATACTTTTGTTTTTAGTGTTCAGCATGTGAAACAGCAATTGCTAAAGGGTCGATTGTATTTCTGTGGCAGCTTGCTTTTTGTGGAGGCAGCTGATCGCCCAGGATTGTTGGTGGATCTTGTAAAGGCTATCACTGACATTAATATTGCTGTTGAATCAGGAGAATTTGACACTGAGGTGATTATTTATCTGCATACATCTGCACCTCTGGATTTCCTATCCTTTCCTCTGTATCTTTCTCGTATTTCGCAACACAAATAAGCCTTAGCATTACAACCACACTGATATTGCTTACTTTGGCATCTAGGGGTTGTTGGCCAAGGCAAAATTTCATGTCAGCTACAAGGGTAAAGCCATCAGCAAGCCTCTTCAACAGGTGAGAAATATCGAAGCCTAAAACCTACCAACTAGTCTGTCGTTGACGCTACCCTCGTGTTCTCGTTATGAACGTGTTGCTTTATCAACTTTGGCAGGTTCTTGCTAACAGTTTGCGATATTTCTTGAGGCGACCGTCGACCGAGGAGGCAAGTTTTTGAGCCATGCTAGAAAATGACCAGATTCATGATCACGTACTCGACGCAGATTATAATTTAATCTCCACGGGGGAAATGTAGGAAACAGTTTCCACTTTAATCTATTATTGTTAAAAAATAATATAAATTATAAAATTTTACCTAACAACTTAAATTTTTAAATAAAATTAATTTTTTGACATGATGTAAAATCATAATACCCAAGATCACAAATTTAAATTTTATTATTTTTATTTATTTAATAAAAATTAAATATAAAATAATATAAAAGATAAGTAAGTTTTAAATCTAAAAAATTTTTATTTAAAAAAATTAAAAAATAATATAAATTATTATTATTCCACAGCTATCACACTGGTTGCCCTTGAACTTTGGACAATGAATCATTAGTCTTGCCACAGTGTCACTGTCTCCTTAAGGAAAAAAACTATATGTATGGAAATTTTGTTGTAAAGATCACTAAAAGCATATGGCAAATCAATTACAAGAACATATAAAGGAAAGCCTGGCCGTGACGCCATTGATTACCTTTACTGTCAAGAAGTAAGTAATAAGTTGGATTCCATGAACAGTTTAGCTGAACTGAATAAACCTGAAATGTCTGTACTGAATTAAGTTGGTTTGAACCTATGTCTGCTCAACTACAACAGATTTGGGTAAGTTACGCAATCAGCCTGGTTTTATATATAGTTATCAAATCTGGCTAGACTTACTAAGGCGACTTGGTGATTCGATGAATTAGGACGTGCCAGGATTGGGTTTGTTTTTAAATTATTCGGGGAAGTTAACTTGATCAAACTTTAACTAATGGGTTATTTTTTTTAATTTTTATTTAAAAAATTTTTATTTTTATTTTTAATTTATCAGTTTTTTTTTAAATATTCAAAAAAATATTGTTTCATTAAAAAGTACAGTAAACCCTGGGTCAATTTATAAACTTGCGGATCGACTCGCACTTACAACCCTATCCTTAGGCCGGGTCACGACCCAAATGTTCTGGAAAATATGGTTATGTGAACTTATCCTTGTTGCAACGATAGTTGTGCCCGAACCAAGTGGTGTTCAGATTGTCACGACCTGTCAGTGGGTTTGGTCCAAAGAGCCGGAAGGTGGCAATCTTTATTGGTGCGGGCCAGGATAGATGATGAAAGACCAAGCAGCCATACGCGGATAAAAATGGTCCCGAAAAGCTACCAATCTTTCAGGCATGGGTAAAGCTTGCATGGTTGCTTCATTGGACATGATATGTTCTGATTTGGAATAATTTTGTGAGATTTTCTTTTATTTCACATTCAATCCAATTATATGATTGGTCTACTCGTAGTGTTTTAATAAACTATTGATTATGAAATTGTACGCTATGGATACAAGGCCAACAGATCATCAATGATTGCTTGAGGAACAGCAATCTCTTTCGATATCTAGAAGCTTAGCAGTTGAAACAGACAATGACATATGTGAAATGGTCCCAAACAAAATCTCCATAGAAATGAGAGATTTGGATAACACCCCCATGCCTTCTTGCTTTGAATATATAATGTTCCAATGCCTTATAAATGATGCATGAACCATCCACATTGTTTGGAGCTTGGCAAAGACAGAGATGTCTTCTGGGACATTTGCTAGAGGTGCACACACCATGAATTCCATGTTTTTCAAGTAAGGCTTCCTGCTTTCTTTCTTTCCTTTGTTTTTTCGTCAAAGCTTGTAATGTATATTGAACCGGCTGGTTTGATAGCTTCAGTCGATCATAAATCAGATCCATGTAATAATCTTCTTGAAAAAGTAAGTGTTTGTATATAGCTATAACTTATGGCTAGATCATTAATGTTTCTTATCGATCAATATCACCATTTCTTTGTGAAAACATATATAGGCCAATGATTCGAAAAACCTACCACAAGAAAAGTTCCGCCGACACAATACGTGAGACAATGAAGGTGGATGCCGAGGAAGTGAGGAACAATAAGAGCCATATGAGAGAGACTGATAGCAATGGTTGGGTTCCACATGAGAGGACTGGAATTTATTATCCAAAGGGCCAAGAGAAGGTGATGGAAGGCATACCTCCAGCAGCCGAAAAGGATGTTGATGTGGTCAATTGGTTTTCACACCATGGGGAATATTGAGCATATTTTAATTGTTCTAATATTTAAAGCTTATATATGAAACCCGATTCTTGTTTTCGGATTAAAATCCAAATGTAATTGAATCTGTGCTTACATTCTAAGAAAATCATAGAGAACGTGTGCTTAACATAATGAAAAAAATTGAGAAAAGTGCTTTAACCATTCTATATTTATAATTATTATTTTAACATTTACAAAACGATGTATCCCACAGTCATAATGAGACAGACAGAAATTTGTCTTTGGGATCATTTTTGAGAGAATTCTGCACTGGTGGACACGTTCTTATTGTTCCCGTCTTCTCTATTTCAAAATTGGATCTAAACGCTACCAAAGCTATTCACAGCTTCAGCAAACACAGCCCGGCATGGTATATAGCTTCAATATATAACTCATTTCAATACTTGTATTGCAAATTTGAACCATCAAGTGCTTTTTAAGAAGAAAAAAAAACCTGCAGAAGCGTAGAGAGGCATTGTTGAAGAGGAATAATTACTGTGAGAGCTATTGCTCAGGATCTAAGCATGATTCCCATTTCGTGATATTGTTTCAATATGGATTATTGTGCTTTCTACTGGTAAGTGCTCATCTCAAATCATTTTGATCCTGAAAGAAACCTGAGTTTTGACATACAGCTTGTCAAGGTGAAAAATGGAAGTAAATCAACTATCATATGCTCTTTGTTTGTATGGATGCTTTTGTACCTATAGAGAGAGATGCATTTGCATGTTTTGGTTTGTAGCTGAAATATTAAGTGGCATTTCGACTTCACTACATATGCTAATTGGCCTGCCTTTGCTTCAGTCTTTTGGGCATCTCGCATCATTCGTGCAACGTTATTTGAGATTAACTGTGACGTCTTTTTTTTTCCCCGTAGCACTTCCAATATGAACTTTATTTTCATTCCTTTATTTCATGGTGAATGTTGTGCAATCCATCCGTTTAATGCTAACTGGGGTTTCATGATTCTTTCTTCCCAAATGGCCCTGAAATGAACAGGGCATTTATGAATTGTACCTATCTGCATATTACAGATTTTGGTATTGCAGAGCTAGAGAAAGATATTGGCTACTATATTGGATATGTCAGTGAGCTTGCTTTCCTTGTTTTAGACTTGCGTTGGAGAGCATTATGTATGATTACTGATGAAATTTTCTTCACAAAAACGTTCTATACATGTGTAAAGGGTCCTCGTTTATGCCTGGGAGAGCTCTAACATCTGTTTTCTGGGGAATAGTTGCTGATCGCTATGGTCGAAAACTACGCTGTTAGTGACCTCTACATTTCAAGTCATGTTGTTGCCATTATCTTAGGAATTACTATTTCAAAAATCTCATTTTTTTCTTCTTCTCATGGTCTCAGGATCATTTTCAAAACACTCTCCGGCCTTGGTGTAAACTATACAGAGCATGGTTTCCATATCACTGAGACGCCATTATCATATGCAAGCATGTATATGGGCCACACAGTGAAACCTTCTGGGCCTACATTTCCATTATAGATCATAATTAATAAGGGCTCAGGAATGTGCTATGAACTACACAGAGCTTGGTTACGTTGATGTTTCTATTCTCTGTTAGTGCTAAATATTCAAGCACACATATGATAAACATTAATAATGATCTACTGCGCGGATTTCATTTCATGAAGAGTAAGGACACGGATAGAGATTAAACCAATGACCCGAAAGTTATTAGAAATCACCGCCGTTGCCATTGGTAGCATTACTCTATAAATGATGATAAAATGTCCTCCATGAAAACAGATAGTGCGGGATGCTGTCACCGCTTCGGGCTCCATCACGCGAGTCCTTAGCTTTTAAGGTAGCTGTAGCATCAAGTACTGGTCGAGTGAACTTGCATGTCAGCATGTTACAATTTTCAAGTCAAAAGTGGGCCATGGTGACCTTTAAAACTTGAGTGAGACCACCAAGATCTTGGGCCTTTTTTCAAGTCTTGCGGGCCTCAATTTTGGACGAATTAAAAAAACCCAATACACCTATTTAACCCATTTACCCACGGGTTGATCATGCCAATCTGTGACTCGTGCAGCCGGAACTTATAACTAACGAATAGGTTCTTTTTACCGAGTAAACTGTTTTTAATTTTAAAACTATTTTTTTTTTTGTTGTTGCATTGCTTACGCTGCTCCTTGTTCTGCTATTAATTACATGTTTTGCTTACTGAATGCATTTGTTTTCCTGTGTAGAGCGAATCACAGTTTGGAATATGACAACATTATCGAGATTTTCTGATCTCTGTTCGTTCCTGACTAGCTTCCTCAATATATATATATATATATATATATATATATATGGTTTTCTAGCGTAAATATGTACAATTGTGCCTGCAAGTTCCTGGTAAAAAGAAAAAAGAAAACATTTAAACAATTATTAAGAATAAAAATAATTAAAAAAAAACAAATATAGTAAAAAAAAAACAAAAAAATCTTACATTATTTTAGTTGTAAGTGAAACTAAAGAGAAAAATAAAATTTCGTAAAGCATATTAATTAAAAAAAACTAAAAGGATAAAAAAAGAAAGAAGAAGACGACATGCTTGAGCAAGAAGAAGAAGAGAAGAAAAGAAAAAGAAAAAAAATATTATTGTGTTTTACATATAATGAAAAAGAAGAAGAAGAATAAGAAATGAGTTTGTATCTTGTGAAATAAGAGAATTCAGACTTTTTATTAGGACGCGTTAGTGATTGTTTTACCAATGGATAACTAAATATTAATTTTTTAATTATTTTATTGGTAATTCCGTTTGTAATATTTAATTTAAAATTTTAATTTCATAAAAAGTTTTCAAAACTGCCAACAATCACCGATGATTTTGTTTAAATGATTTTTAATTCGTTTTGTAATATTTAAATGAAGATTTTAAATTAATTGAATTTTTTTAGAAAACCACCAAATAATACTAATGACTTTTCAATTTGTCAGTGATTTTGTTCATAAAAAATAACAATTAACAGTGCAATTGGAAAATAAACAGTTTCGGAGCTCTCTGAAAAATATCAACGGAAATTTTTTTAGGATATATAAAAACTAGCCAGTTAATTAGGCTGTAAAATTAGGATTTACAAGATCAATATCTTTACAATTCAATATCAAACTTAACAAGTCGGATTTTAAATCACAAATTTTCTAGATTTAGTCATCGAACTTTCCTCCATGATCTCTTGGGAATAGTAATTGCATGTACATGGAAGTTCAAACGATAATCTTAGTTACTCTCAATTAACTATATAATTAACATATGAAATTAATGGCATTACATGACTCGGTCAGACAGTCTTCTTGTTTCTTTCTCTTTGCAAAGATTCAGAAGGAAGACAAATTTCTTAAATTGAATACAATCACAAGGGATGAAACCGGAGATGGACTGCACATAATGTATGCAAATATAAGGAACCATCCTCAAACTCTCAGACCTCTGTGAAGAGAACCTTGCAGAAATGAATAAATAGCATTCCAGCCATTGTCCGAAGGGTGTGCCAGATCAAAAAAGAAAGATGACTTGGGACTCGAGCATAGTCCTTCCGCTGAGCATATGTACTCAACAGTCTTCGAGCAACATGGCTGCAGCGGGTTCTTGCACGCAGTGTTTGCTGTGACAAGCAGAAAGAAGAAAGGTTATATAAACATTAACTTGAGTTGCATTAAAAAAAACAATTTTGGTTAAAAAAAACATGAGCAGAGATTACCTGCATTCTGTCTGAATTGGTCAATAGCAGAAACCATAGCGTTATAGAGATCAAGAATTACAAATGTGCTTTTGTTTCCATCACCAGTGTTCAATTTCTCCACTGCTTTCTGCAATAGCTGGTTGTAAATCTTGGCGTTTTTGTTGTATTCTTCGTCGCAATTCTGATATGTATTTGGTGGAATCATGTGTATTGGCAAGCATCCTAGAAGCGGTAGTGTTGCTGCTACAACTTTTTTCACTCCTAGACGATTAATACGTTGTAGGTCTGCAGCAAGCTGGTTTACAAGTCCTTCAGTGAAAGCAGGCAATCCCTATCATATAAAAAAAATTCAAAAAATACAAGTTAAAAAGCTACATGTTCAACGTAAAAAAGTACTTGTAAAACTTTCTTTATTTAGGGTAAGAACTACTCACATCTTTTGAACCTTTCTTGGCCGTAAAATAGAATGGATAGTCATTGGCTCCGGTAGAAACCAGAGCAACTGAATTATCAAGGTCACGTTGACTATATACATTTTCTTTGAGTAGTTGTTCAAATCGATCGATCTGGACTGTCAGGCTGTCTTTCGCCCATGTGGGGAAAACACCACTGCCTCCATATGCAAAGTTCAACCCTTGCTGAATGCTTTTTGATGTGTTTTTCAGTTGATAAGGTGTAGGTGATTCTATTCCCAGGAATGAAGCTGCACATTATATTTCATGAACGCAAATGTAAAAATAGATGTGTTAATATAATTTAATAGCTTGGTGAAATATCATAATTGTAATAGAAAAATCACATACATAGTTGTCAGAATTGACTAGATGGTCAATTTAACTCTCAGATCAGTGGATCAACCCAGGTCTATCTCAAAACAATATTATTTGAGTTGTTTTTTTTTTTAATGAAACAATGTCGATTAGGAAAAAAAATTAAAACAATATTATTTGAGTTGTTTTTTTTTTTAATGAAACAATGTCGATTAGGAAAAAAAATTAAAACAATATTATTTTGTATAAAATTAAAAAAAAATCCATAGAGTTAACTAGACAAGTCTCTTCCAGGTCTGATAAAATCAACATGTTGCATCTTAAATTGGGAGGTGAACTCCCAACCTGTTTCGAAAGCATACTAACTTCAGCTTAGGTTTCGGCCTAACAAACTATTACAGGTTTAATACCTATGATTTCAAATTCTCTCTATTCTAAAAATAAGATGAGAGAAAAGAAAAAAAGTAGCAGGAGAGAAAATTCATTAATCACCTATATGGTCAGTTAGGACACGACCATCGGAGGCTCGACCATTTGGTTTACCAGGACATGTTTTACCAAAAGGTTCTTTCCATGGACCCCTGACATCCCGTGGCCAATTTCCAGTATCAACATAGGAGTCTCCAAAAACAAAAAGTGTTGGAAAGTTCTGAGCTGAAATACCAAAGAAAAACAATGAATGATCAATTAATTATCAGAAATCGCTAATTATCTGTTAATCCAAGACTCAAGATTACTAACACGGGAAAATATAAGAACATTTTGAGATAAATCAATCGGGCATCTGACCTGTAGAAATACCAGCGATGGAAAAAAGAAGCAAACCAACCAAGAAAATCCGTTTCCCCTCCATCGGGAGAACAAAAACAAAGGAAAGAAAGAACTTTATATATTAAATTGTTGTTTTGGAGAACAATCATTCTTATAGGGTTTCCCTCCGGGACTCTTGCATGGAAGTTTTGAAAGTTGATGAGTTTAGCTAGATGGATCTTTCCAGCTATCAGACAATCAGGCAAACTCTAAATTTGGTCCTTTCTTCAAAAAAAAAGGAAACATCTGGTAAGAATGTGGTGGTTTTATGTCATTGACAGACAAAAACTTGAGTGCTTGCATTAGTTTCATGCATGATCTGTGTCCTAAAATGCCAACTTGGGTTTTTGGTTTGTTAATTACCCCCTAGCTAGCTAGCTGGGAGGTTGGTGAGAAGTGGATGGAGCTGTAGAAATATGGAAAGCTTTTCAGAAGGAAAAAGAATGGACATTCAGTTTGATATCATTAAGGGGTACGTAGACGGGAACTCTTGAAAATTAATTAACTATGAATTTTAAACTATAGAAGCTGAAATAAAACATTAAATATAATTCACTCAAAAATAGTTTACCCCTTCAAACAACAAAACCAGAGTCAATTATAAATTAATTAGTATCAATATTAATTAATTAATTAACTCAGTTGGTGTAAAAATAACTTAACAGTCATTTTACTATCATCCTATAATTATTTATTTTGTCATCCTTCAGTTCTCAAGTGTCCTCTATCCTAATCAAAACTTTTCATCAAAGAAGGAGCGATGAAGGGGTTTTAATTAAAAATATATGTATTTTTTATCTTTATTTCAAATCGTGTTACTATCTTGAGTCGTATGATGCTTTAGAAGCAACGGATGATAAAGAAAGGAAGGAAAGTCTCTTAAAAAATTCTAGTAGATATCTCATTATGGGCTGAGAGCCCTAGAAAACTTGGAGGGCTGGGCTACACAACTGGGGATGATGGTGAAGTTCTGGCAATCACAGGTATCTATAACATTCAGAATTGTATTTGATGACCTTTCAATTCTATAATCATAAAAAATTACAAATAAAATAAATTCTTACTGAAACTTGATATAATACTCACGGTTACCATATTCCCATATTTACAGTGGAAACTCACTGACAAATTGTTCAAATAATAGGTTTCGGCCTTCTTGTCTTTCAACTTTTGCTATATCCATGTGTGGAGAGGATTCTTGGACCGATAACAGTAAGTCGAATTGCTGGGGAAAAAACTCAACAAACTGTAGCATCTATGCATACTTTCTGCTTCCACCTATTCCTTTGTCACAATCTTTCGTTAAATGCAGGTTATTATATTCATACCACGATTGGCAAGTTACCCTTTTATAGCCATGTTATCGGGGCTCGGCCTCAGCGTGGTGATCAGTGTAGCATCTACAATCAAGAGTTTTCTTTCTGTAAGTGCACATGTAGTTTGAAAATCTTCAACACAGTGGTTGGATTGATCTATTTGGATGAAAAACATTCAGCTGTTGTTGCCCTTTTTTTGACCCTGATTATTATTTTTGTATGACTAGGTGTCAATTGCAACTTGCTTGTTTATTCTGCAAAACAATGCCGTGGTGAAGTTCTTTTCTTGATTTACTCACTGCCACTTCCCTGCTTCATTTATGCTTTATGGTTAGTAAGCTTATAATCTTCTTCAACAAATTGTCTTAAACTTTTTAAAGTACAGGATCGAAACCAAAGAGGAGCTGCTAATGGCATTGCTATGACAGCAGTGTCCCTTTTCAAAGCGGTCGGTCCTGCTGGAGGTGGTTCGCTGTAAGTTTTACTATTGATTATATACCATTTATTTTCCTTAGATTATACCAAAACTGACTCGTTTTCTTTAATATTCTACAATTTTCCCATTGCTATGAATCAACCTGACCTTTTGATGTCCTGGAGCTTGACAGGTGATGTTAAAATGCAGAGGACCAGACTGTTTTCTTCATCCTGAATGCGGTTGACTTCATTGGAGTGCTGATGACCTTCAAACCTTTCCGAGCACAAAAGCAAGACAAACAAAAAATGGGACCAACTAGTTTTCAAATGTAACAATGTTGAATATATATATATATTTGGCATGGTATTGATATCAGGACAAGGGTTATTGCATTTACAATTAAAGTTTTTTGACTTCGCCTCTGAAGGCTTCATTTCCTTGCGTAGTACACCAATAAGATGACCCCTCAGGTATGGGTTTAGAGGACAACCCCTCCCAAGCCAGATGTGACGCTTTGTTTAGGCTTCCCTTGTTAGGTTTACAGATAGAAGGGTTGTTCTGGATCGAGAGACCAGTTGGCTCTTCCTAGTCTTGAATATGACTGCATGGGTTTACTTTCTTTCTAAGAGTTAGCTGGCGAAGGGTAAATGATTGAATTTAGGAATCCAACATCCTCAGTGGAAGAAGCCAAGCCAGTAGCGAAGAGGGGATTGATTTGAACAAATAAAGTAGTGCTCGGGGCAGCCCCTTATCGTGAGAGATTAACGGGTGGCGGGCACTCCATCCACAAAGGGTGAACTATGGCTTAGGCTAAAAGGAAAAGGGATTTGGTTGGCCATCGCCCTTTGGTTTGGGCTCTTTCGAGACAACTCCTTCCGTTCGAGACTAGTTGCTGCCTGAGACCGTGGATTTAACTACTCCTTCCTCACCAGCAGGGACCCTTCCTCTGATTAGGCGCCGATACTGAGTCATTCCAGTAGGGATTGCTCCTTTACTTTAGGTTTAGGTATCGATGAGTCATTTCCTGTATTTGCAGGGGCTCGATAGCGAAGGAAAATGAGCCCGTGAAGTTCCCCCGAGCCCTCTGCTGGACCGGCAGGGTGGAAAGTCTTTCCTCTCTGTTAATGAGGCAATAGATTGGTGTGTTAACAAATTACCGCAGATCTTAGATGATCCTTTCAGATCGCTTAAAAAACTCAAACACTGGGACTCCTGCTTGGGGAGCCAGATTAGATGAAGCAACATCTTCATCTAATCAAGTTGCTCAAGAGCTCACCCCTGTGCAGGAAGCCTCCCTCAGTGCCGACCCGACGAGTCCCACCCCCCTGGAAGAGTCGGATTTCCCTGGGGACCTGGTACGCTTAAGTTCATCGCTCCCTTCCCGAGCCTCCCCACTACTATTGAACAGTTATTGAATCAAAAGATTGAAAAAACAAGACATCAAGATCCCCATCTAGGGTTAATCATTGCTTCGCATCACTTCAAAGAACCTTTTTCCAATTATTAACGAGATTGACCAACTTTGTCATGGATATTTTAATCCAGTTTGCTTACCCTTCCTCCTTATCTGGTTACGCTAAGTTCACTTACAAAATGTCCTGGACGCCCCTTTCTTCAAACTTCAAAAAAGGACATGCTTGTAATTACGGATATTATAGCTTCACGTGCTCCTTATTTTTAATAAATAAACCAAGATTTGACTGTGATTTTCGTTAAAAAAGATAGACTATCAATCATTGGTGTTAAGGCTTCTAGTGTTAAGATAAAGGATAGGAACTTCGCATCTTCTGTCGGTCAATCAAGAGAGTCTACAATGACGCGAAATATACAATAGAAAGTTTTTTGAAGGAAGTGGGAGTTCGCGGTCAGGTTTACTTTCGATATGGTAGGCGTGACCAGTCACAGTTCCTTTGAGGATCGAGACTGTCGGTAACTTACCCCTCTCCCTCAAGACGATTTCTTTCTACCCGCTGCTTCTCCTTGCTCCCTTCCTGCGCCTAGGCCCATTCCTAATTTTATTGCTAAGGCCCGTCACTGGCTGCATCTAAAGCAGAAGAGCAGCTCTTTCCCGTACTGAAGGGAGTAGGCTTTCTCTGCTTCTAAGTTCGAAGATCCGGCGTTTGCTCCTTATTTCGTTCAGCCATTCATTAACTTACAGTCTAGTTTGTTCATGTGATGTTTTGGCTGGGGCAAAGCACCACTCATGAAATGAAGGCAGTTGCTTTCCTATCATTAATGTATATAATTGCTATGGTTAAATATATACAATGGAATAGAGAATCGCAAATAATGGCTCCCTTTCTTTAGTTTTAAGCTGAGAAAAGAGAGACGCTTAGCTGGTCGTAGTTAAAAGTGTTTTGGGAATATAGTTATAGATAGTTTTCAAATAATTTTTCTGTTAATAATTTTTTTTATTTTTTTTAAAATATTTTTAACATCAATATATTAAAATAATTTAAAAACATTAAATATATTAATTTGAAGTAAAAGAATATTAAAATTTTAAAACTTTTAAAATGCAAAAACAATATTAATCTTGAACACAATAAGAGAATGGAATCTTCACTCCTTGAAATACAAGTTACCCTACGACAAGCTGGAACTAGCCTAGATACTTCAGACCAGACATGTAATTTGCAGATATTAGCCTTTAATTACTATCTCGGAATGAAAAATAAACAATAGAAATAGCAAGGCAGAAATTCATTTTAAAACTCTCAGAGACTCTCTCTCTCTTATATATATATATATATATATATATATATATAAGGGACACTAACTAAATAGAACATGATGTGCTTCTTCTTTTTTGTGAATTATCTGAGGGAGCTTGTGCATTCCCTTGTAATGTGTGTTAGGAACTACTGAAAATCATATATTAATTCCTTTAAATAGCCCTCATTATGCATCGCTATGTGCAAATTAGCTACCTAGACTAGCCGATTGCACCCTGCTGCATCCTGCAGGTTTCTCAAACCTAGCAATTCATTTTGCTAGCATATCTCAGTGACTGCTAGTGCCGGATTGCACAGTTGACAAACAATATATACAAGCACAATCTTTTGCTTCTCCGTAGGAATAACCAGTGTCTCTTTTGCACAAAGTGAACTCACTCTCAGCACAAAACACATGATGAAAGATGCAATCTATACTTGACAATTGTACTAAAATCGAAATACGAAGTGAGGGAATGTCAGGCTGAAAGAAGCTATTAAAATATATTGACCATACGAAAAAGAACTAGCTAGCATGGGCAAAATCCCAGGACACTCCAACAGTGAAAATTACATATGAAAATTTCTAACTCAACTTTTCACAGAATAGATACAAGAAAAAACAAAAACTCATGATGATGAGAAGCAAACTCACAGGAGTAAATGTGACAAGCAGCTGCTTCTAAAAGGATCAAGGAGCAAATTATGAGCACAAACCAGAAATTCATCATATCTACAAAACTTCATTTGCTAGAATGGGGCTGATGTTGTTCTGCGAAGCTGATATTTGGGCTCAGGGAGAGGGACACATGGCAACATAATCTCCAGATCCTGCAAGTTTAAGGACAACAGATCAAAATAAGATAAAAAAGAATATACAAATTGGCAATTAACAATAAGAATGAGGGGAAAATGTACTTCATACGCACATGTCTCGTATTCAGTGCCAAGATAGACATGTTTTACCATCATCATATAGGCCAATAAACACCAAGAAGATGATATCCTTATACTCAAGGAAGTGATTGTGTATATATAAACCGATGCCAACAAACATCATTATCACCACAAGTAAAAGAAGAATAGCCTTTTGCCCACGGAACAAATTCAATAGCAAGAGAGCACCTTCTTCTTTTCTTATGATATATGGAGCTCATCTTATTAATTTCTATATTATGTTTCCAAGGAAAAAACATGATTTGGTGGTAGAAGCAACAGTCTATGAATCATGATTCTGAGCTGTTTTGGTTAGTCAAGAAATGTGGTAAATTTGATTTTGATTGCTGGAAATTATTGGGGAAGGAAACTAAATGAGAGCAGTTTTGAAGTGGAAAAGCATGGCTGTGCTAGTCTTTAGAGTTTTGGGATAATGATTTTGCTACAACCATTGAACTGGCAATAATAACTAGGGGGTGCTTGCAGATTTCACAACAAGAAGGACCAACATGCAAGTTGCGCATCAAATTGGGGATAGTGGAACAAGAGCAATAATATCTCATGAAATAAACAACAAGCGTATGCATCAAGAATCCTTTCATTTATTCTTTAATTTTTCTGTCAAAACTAAAGGAAAAATGGAGACAGGAAGCTTTCTAATACCCACATGAATCTAAAGTTTCATGTAGTGATTAATAGTCATCATCTAGTTTTCTTCCCCAGCCACTTAAGAGGAGACAACCTTCAAAATGTCTTGTCATGCCTATGAATGTCATTGGATTTTCAAAGAAAAAACTATCATAAAACTAGTCAAACTGATCTTCATTCTTGGAAGACAATTATGTTTGGTTTGCAGTAGGAATATAGCTAGCTGATAAGCTGTCAAATGACAGTATATCAGACTGATCTAAATTTCAGTTGCATGATTACTGAAAATCACTGCAAAAGAAAATCAAACAAGGGCTTCTTTAAACTATTCTATCTCTGATTCAATTACACCTTCTTTCTTAATCACAAAGCAAGTATGAACATCCTTCATTCCTTAAATTCAAGGGAGGAGGGAGAAAAGGAAACTAAACTAAAACAGACAGTTCAGCACATGTTATCAATATATCCAATAGAAAGGTAGTTGAGCCAGAGGAATAACTGAAAAGAAAACCCCACCCTTAGTTTCCTCAGCCTTTCATTTTCCTCTTCCAGACGAGAAATTTTATTCTCCAGCTCATTTGTGTATGCTTGCTTCCGTGCTCGTGAACGGGCAGCAGATTCTCGGTTCTTTATCATTCTCTTCTGCCTCCTCTCAACTGTCTTCTCAATCATATCTGGCACACCTCTTTTCCTTGCTGGTGCCTGTGTATCTGATAATGTCCCCATCAGAGGTGGAGGTAAGGCAACCTGGTTCTCTGAGTATGAAACATCCATCAAAGAACCAGCCCCCATGTGAAGTGGCTGCAGTGTAGACTGACCTGGCATATAAACCCCCATCATGCTTTGTTGTGGGTGCTGATACTGTGGATGTGGTTGGTATTGCAACCATTGACCTTGTTGTTGAAACTGTTGTGCTGCATTTGTATCAACCCCAACAATGGAACCACCATCTTTCTTGTCCATGGATCCTTCATCTACAACTCCTGCTTTTACCAAGAAATCCTCCAAAGTCATCTCTCCAAAAGTAGGCTGCCGCTCCCTAGACTTTATCCCCCTGTTATTTTTGCTTTGTTGGATGTCTTTCCAAACCTCATCAACTGTCTTCTTACTCAGATCACTGGTTAACGATAAGCTTGCCTGACGCTGCAAAGCAGTTTGATTGGCAAATGGTGTGCCCTCCACTTCCAAACCCATAGTCTGGGTAGCCTCCACTGTCCACACGTTTTTGAGAAGTTCATCAAGATTCATGCTGCTGAGAGGTTTCCCCAAGTCACCCAACTGATTCTGAACCTCATCGAGAGTGAGACTGTACATTGAGTTTTGCCGTGCCAATGGCTGGAGCTGAGATTGTTTATAATGACTACTACCATCACCTTGAGATCCCTTTGTCTGCATTCCCATTCAACAACCTTCACTTAAACATTCCAAATCTAAGAATTAAAAACCCTTAACACGACAACTCTGTTAAACCCAAGCTTGTCTAAAAACCACAGTGATCCAATCTTCAAACTCACCCCACAGTCTGACCTGAAAAACCGAGTTACAATTCAGAAATGTAGCCTATAAATGAATCCTTTACCGAACAAGATTTTAGATTAAATTCCCCAGACAGACAAAAAAACTCTAATTTGAACAAATTAAGGATAGAGTCTATACCATGCAAGACCAGAACTAAAATATACAAGATTAATTTTCACGAAAACCTAAGACAATAACCTTCATTCAGCACAGTTAACAAAATAAAATAACAAGTTACAAAAATGGCCAACAAACAAATATGCAGCTTAAATCCCTTGATTATGAGAACAAAATCTTAAGAAAAAATAGAACAAGGAAAACACAGACTACTATTGGAAGA